TTTGAATGGGCCCTTGTGGGTCACGCTGTATACAACAATTCGATTAAAAGCCACAGCGAGGTGTTGAGTGAAGTATGGCTTGTCGGACACGTAGTCCGACACGGCCCGATTGAAACATTAGCTTGTCGGACATATAGTCCGAGATGGCAATTAACGTGTTAATTTTAAGACAGGTTAGGTTAAAAAAACACACACAAAATAAAATAAATATTTATACTAATCAAATGTTATAACGTAAAAACTCCATAAATTGGAAATGAGTTATTGCTCTTTTTCAGTCTGTACTTAAATCTATTTAATACTCCACTACATACAATCACGCCGGTACTGGCAACACTGATATGATTTCTGTCAGGGCACATTGTCTGTGGTATCTCCTTAGATCTACAGTTGTTGATTTTTAAAAATATTCGAGACTTGTCTATGGTAAAGTTGCAGGGTTCGAATACTTCGTCTCTATGGTGTGGTGTTTTGACGTTTCTTGTTACTGGCAACAATCTTAGTTTGGCGCGCGTTATTATAATCGGTGGTCTTAGTGGCAAAAAGGAGAATTCTTCATCTGGTGATTTTTCTGTTGTATCCTGACATGACAATGTTTCTGAAAAAAAAATATATATATAATTAATACTCTACAAATTTGTATACTTCAAATACTGCAAATTTTATTAATATTTCCAGAACTGGTCAACGGATTTCGATGAAATTTAGCATAGGCAAACACAGTTTCAACTAGTTCCGAAGCAGAGACAACAAAAAATTATGTAAAAAATGTTTTTTTTTTGCCTAATAAAGAATTTTTTATTTTATGGATGTAGAACATAGTCTGGTAGAACGCGGAGGCTACTATACTACACAAATTAAGTGTTTTATTCCGCGCAGATAGAGTCCAGGACGAAAGCACGGCTGCAAGCTACGGCACAGCTGCAGCATGCAACAGCATAACTGTTTTATAGCTGCCTTCATTCATTATAAGTGTTGGCATTCAATAGATTTTGTTTAAGCTATTTAATTATGAAATTTATTAGAACAGTACCTTTATAAGGGAAGAGAGTTCGTCGCGGCATAATAGAGTCACCAAGCATCTCATAAAGTGTGTAGTCCGTTGTAACAAAGTCTTCTAGAAATGTGGTGGGTTCAGATCTTAGCAAACATGTTGATGCATCCTATAAATAAAACATATGTCTATGTAATATGTATATATATATATATATAATATATTTAAATATACATAACTGACATTTTTAATTTCTTCATTTATATAATACTAATAACTACAAAGTAATAATACTTGAGACACTTTTGAAGTAAAGTAGTTATGTCAAAGATAATGACACAGGGATGACGATATGTTTTATACAGAGATTTTGGTCTCAAAAACCCATGTGTACTTACAAGGATAGTTTCTCTTAGGTCTGCCATAGCGTGGTTACGTCTTGGTGCATGTATCAATGTATCCAAATGGTCCAGGTAATCAGCTAGGCAGGTGATAAGTGCCTGCCTGCCAAGTGCCATCACACATCTGATCATGGGTGCGGTTAAACGTTCCTTGGTGCCTTGAGATAGATAGTCAAAGAGTATGCCTTTACCTAGAATATATCATTTATTTAACATAAGGAAATTATGTAAATAGGTAACCTGGAACATTTTCAGATAAACAAAATGTGTATGAAATCATTGTGTGCTTATGAATGCTATATACAGTTGTTATATTGGTAGAATAAATATGTATAGCTCGGAATTATTTATCGGTTTTATATTCAAAGATGCTTGTATATGGATTTAGCCAAAAGTGTTACATAGATGAGTATAGTTCCAGGTAACCCAAATGTACCTATAAAATATTTATAAAAGTACAAAATAACATTTAAAAAAAAAATTAAAATTATTTAGTTAAAGTTTTAATTTATTTACGTATTCATTTATTTATCATATTTTTAATATATTACATAATAGTACATTTCATATCAAAAAAAATATAGAAAACATATAATATTAAATATAGAACACCACCGGCTGCCGAATATAATTTTTTAATTTATTTTATTATTATGTAGGTACTCACCAATAGCTATAAAGGATGGCCAGGTACGTGTGATTTTAGTTAATATAGCTACCATTTTCTCCGCAAGCGATCCATTTCCTAATATATTAGACACCATCACTGGAAATAATCTCTGAAACTGTTTCAAATATGTTACAAATTTGACATAGAACATAGTCTGGAAGAACACATAGACTACTAAGTTTCTTTTTTATTTCGTGAGCACAGACTCGCAGCAATAGCTAGAATCATAAAATCCTTCATCATGAAAATACATAAATATTTTTTTTTACTATATAAAATAATCTCAGAAATAATTCACTTACTTGTTGCTGTATATTCGTATCTAAACTACAAGGATTTGAACATAAAGCGTCCACCATATCTAATACATTTGACTGCAGAGGTTTCTTGGCGGGAACATTTAGAGCTTTTAGGTTATCATCGTTCAGTACCAACACGGCCAAATTGAACAGATTCGGGAATATTGGACCAATCCTTGTGTTTGTCATTAAATCTTCTACGGCTATTTGTTTTGGTTTCTTCTTTAAATTAAGTATTGCTAAAAGAAAACATAATATACTGTTTAAATTTTTAATTCCACATAGACAAATAACTCCTAGATGCACAACAATCTAAAATAAGATGTGAAATTAATGTTACTTTTTAATATTTACTTGATAAGTAAACAGATATAACATACCTCTGGCGACATTAGTGTAGTAATTATGTAAATTAAAGCTTATATTACTGTTGCTACTTAAACTTCTATCATCTGTTATCCATTCTACAGAAACTGAGGGCAGTGTTGAGAAGACATATGTCTGGCTGGTCATGGCATATTCAGTCACATTCAATAAACTCTCCTGTAATATATATACTGCATTAAGTAATAGTACATACACATTATATAAAATTACTGTCGCCCACTATTCTATCAGTGTGGAATTTAAAAAAACTTAATCAGTAGCCTATGTGTTCTACCAGGCTGTTTTACATCTATGCCAAATTTCATCCATCATCCATCAATATTCAGTCATCCATCCAAAGATTTGCTTTAATAATATTAGTATGATATTAGTAAAATGTAGAGTAACTATCCTCAGTTTAATTCTCTCTTAAAAATATATTATAAATCCGAAAGCTTGTATGTACTGATGGATGGATGGATGTTATAATACTTCTCTAAATTTGGATGAAACTTAGTATAGAACGCTGTCTAGAAGAGTGAATACTACTTTTTTTTTTATCCTGCATGGACAGAGTAACAAGATACAGCTAATAATATGAAACATTGCAATATTTAGTCTGTCATGTTGTTTTCTCAGGTAATATAAACATTAAGCACATAAATATAACTTACAGTTTGAAAACACAATTTTTCTTCTCCGAGTGGCGCATAAACATTATTTGTGGTCCCAATTGATGGACTTGTGTCAGAAAGTGTAAATACTGTGTTCACATCCCAAGAGTCAATACGGCTTTTTTTCATCATTTCACTATGTAATGCAATTGTCTGAAAATTATATGACATCTTAGATATATACAAATCAAATAATGTAAGGACAAGTTTTTGGGTTGTATTTTATCACAATGTGATAATGTAATAATGTATCTTTGTATCTGAGAAGAAATTCAAAAGATATGTGCGAAGTCAATCAACCCGCACTTGGCCAGTGTGATTGACTATGGCCTACTCACCCCTAACTTAGGGTAGGTTCAGAGCCCCTTGGTGGGGACATATAGTGAGCTGATGATGATGAATAATGTATGAAGGATCTACATTAATTTTATATATTTAAGAATTAATAGATGAATAATATGTAGATTTTCTTGAGTGCTTAGAGTTACACTTAATTATTGCCAAATGTATTTTGTAATTATAATCTCACAGATATTGTTTGTCGCAGTTTATAGCTGACATCCTCCGCCAAGTTTGCAGCAGCCTCCCCTGTGAGTTCAGCAGCCACCTGCTCTGCAATGCACAGTATCGAGTCAGCCCCCACACCTGCAAACTTCCCCTGTGCCGAACCGCCATCCTAAAATAATAAAAGATTGTAATAGATTATTTTTGTTAACAAAGTACAATTAGGTGCTTAGAAAAGTTATTCTAATTATGAAATGCAGTTGAGTTAATTATTCTAAAAGTGTTTTTACTAACTTAATCATAATGTTTACTTATAAAATGCATGTAATGGGGCCCTTAGGAACAAGCAGGAATACAGTTTCGGATATGACGGAACGTATGATTAAAAACCGAACTTTACGTGTATTCCCACACTTAGTAGAATTGACGTAAAGTCGTCAGATTGAACGTTTTTCAAATAAAACGATACATTTCCTTACCTTTTCTGAGAGTGGAGGAGTATCGCACTGACTAGATCCAGATTCTGAAGCAACAGGCTTATTTTTATCGCGTTCTCTTCCACTATTAACCTTTTTTGAGTGATTTTTATTGCTCGATGACGATAAATTAGACATGATCCAAAAATTTAGCTATCATTAAGCCGTGAAAGCATCGCAACATTTGTTTGTATGTTTACAATTTACACGAAAAAAATTAAAAACAAATACATATTTTAGATCATACTAAGAAACAATGGTATCTAAACATAAATTAATTTTAGTTTAATAATAAAATAACCACAACTCCAACGGCCTGTCATGACCTGACTGACGGTAGTAAATGTTGCCATCAAGAGCCTTATAAAGCTCTGAATAAAATTGTCTATGTTGAATTTCGAAAATAGCATGAATAGCAATGGATAGCATGAGAAAAAAAGAATCACTGACCCAAATAGAAAAATATCTGAGACCTGTCTTCACACTTCCTTTCAGAAACTCAAACAAGCAGTTTCAAACCTTTTTATGCACAAACCTTTATGTCTGAGTGGCGCTCAAAATCAGCGCTGGAGTACAAATGTCATATGCAAACACTAACTGGCGCCAGTGAGCCTAAACATTCATGTCATGCCAGAGCTACTATTCTACTGTCTAGTATTATATGAACCAGGTAATTGTAAATGATTGCGATCAGAGGTCATGTTTTCATAACCTTAAGGTGATCCAAAAAAAGATTCCTTATGAATCGCACAATATTTAAAATTATATATTTATAATAACATACCCTCATTTTCATCCAGAAAGCGGTCTTTGAGTATTCCGATCAAAATTCAGTTAATATATTTAAGAAGCGTATCTTAAAAATTAATTTCAAAAATATGTATCTCGTAATCTTTATTTTTTTCGCTCGACTTAATTCGTACTTACGTAGGTACATTTTATGAGCAATTGTTTTTATTTACGTAAAGAATATTATACTATATTTTCCTCAAGTTTTAGTTTTATGACAATGCTTATTAAAAATGTATGTCCCACAACGATTTTGTGAATTGAATGTAAACTTATTGCATCTATGGTTTTATTATAATATTCTTTTTATAATAGTGTCAGTTCCATACATTTTTAAAATTCGGAATGAATGCACTTTGTATAGGGGAGGTTGTGGTCTCTACGAAGTACTGTTACATACAGTATCGTCTAGTCACTCTTCTCACATTTTAAACCAACGTAACTAAACCTTCGGATTTCGAATTTGCATAAAAATGCAGGGCGAATGAGGAGGTACGATTTCATACGGAAGTTCCGCATTTGCGGAAGCTGATTCGAGTTCACAATACTACCCTATTATAAAGTCTGGAAAATCGGTTCCGTAAAAAAAAAACAAATAAATTAATCTAAGTATTTTGTAATTGATTACTGTATTTAATAACATTATTTGGCTATTTATTTCACAATTAATTGTCAAAAAAAAACATTACATGTATTTTTTTTTGTCAACACTATTGGGGCTTTGACGTTTTTTAATTAAACAAAGAAGTAACTCGTTTAGTGTTAGTCTTTGTTTTATTAAAAAAAGGAATAGAAAGAAACAATTTTATTAGAATTGTAATTCAAAAGCTATTTTAATTATATTTGCCAAGTTCTACGAGAATAACCATTGAAAATTAAAAAAGATTCGTAACCGATTTTACCTAACCCATTCCTGCTGAAATTTTAAACTAAAACAAATTAAAAGAAAATTTGTCTATCAGGATTAAGGACTATGTTTTCAAAGCTTCCTCAAGATCAGTTGTGACGTAATGACGTAACAAAAAAACAATATAAACTGCGCATTTGTAATATGAATTTGGTTTATAATACGTAACGTTAAGTAATTTGCAAGTCATAAGTTACGGATGGTAGATAAAATCTAAATTTAGGTTAACACACCTATTATTGTCCATTCTCAAAGTACTAAATAACTTATCTAGATTAGTATAAAATAAAAATAATGTCATAGGAAATTTAATTAAACATTTTTTTCGTACTGAACATCCTGTCAAGACATCAAGAACGTACATCACAGACTTCTATGGTTTAAGAACGCACAAAAAAAACGATATCTCAAACACAGATTTTTATTTATATGATGATACAAAGGTTATAAAAATATTTTTTTTAGTACTAACTAACCAGACAAACGTGGTCCTGTATTAGCTTTTAAGATTAAATTCAAATGTTATGTTACGCGAGCAACATGTCTATTACAATTGCTTTTACCTCATTCTGAATGTACACCTGTAATAAAATTCTCATCCATTAAAAATTTGAACTTAAAACGACTTGGCACTTTGAATGCAATCTTTAATTGCTAAAAATGACACAAATAGAAACACTACGACAGGTACTTAACGTTTAATACTAATATTAATCTAATATTTTATATTATTAATACTATTTCTGTGTTATTTGTTTATGTTTTTTCTTAAACTAATATATTTTATTTCAGTTATTCGTTATAAGTAGCCTGACAATATGCAGCATTTCGGATGGATTCATTTTCGGCCAAATGTCTGGTATGGTGGATGCATTGCTTGAAAAAGAAGATGAAATAGGGCTTAGTTCTAACGACGTGTCATTAATAGGTACAGTTCCATTCAAACTTTATGGCAGCTTGCAATTGCACATCAATTATTACCAATTATGCCATAAGTATGTAAATATTAACGTGAAATTGATCGATATTAGTATTTTAGTAAAAAATACGTTATTTGTTGTGTTGAAACAGCAAGGGCTTATATTAAAAATATCTTTTTCAGCATCATTAATCAACCTCACATGCATCATCGGCTTTGGCTTGGTCGCTCTGCTCGGAGAGAAGATTGGTCGGAGGCATACCATCTCAATCCTCACCGTACCAGTACTGATTAGCTACATCATGGTACATTATGGATACGACAAAACGACTTTCTTTATATCCAGAATTATTGTCGGTGTCAGCTATGGTGGCATACTAGTATTAATAACATTAACTATGGCGGAGTATACGAACCCAAACAAAAGGGCGATTTGTGTTAATTATATATCTTCTATAGGACCATCACTGGGCACGATGTTAGGACATGTTTTAAGTATTTTATTACACTGGAGAACGGTGGCATTGATTGGACTAATTCCAACAGGATTATCTGCCATATTACCTTTGTTTTGGGTTGAAAGTCCATCGTGGTTGGCAACTCAGGGCAGATTTGAGGAATGTAAAGAAGCGTTTATATTATTACGTGGTACGGGCAAAGAAGCAGAAGCTGAACTTAAATTATTGATAGACACCACTAGAAACACTCAAAGTCAAGTTAGAGCGAGTGGAATAAAATTTCATAAAACAATGGCCTTGTTGAGAAAAGCTATGAAACAAAAATACTTTTGGAAACTGTATTTACTGTCGATAATCATCAACATTTACAGAATAAGTGCAGGCAAGTTATTGTTCAGTACTTTAGCAATTACAATGCTCCAACAGATAACTGGTACTTCTAATATTTTAACATCTACTTTAATAGTTGATGGCTTTATTGTTCTGGGTAATATTCTTTCGTTCTTTGTCCTGAATAGAATGAAAATGAGAACACATTTGTTTTCACTAGGCTTAGTAGCAAATATAATACTAGTAATTTTGAGTGCTTGTTTGCATTTTATTCCTCAGATAAATGCTTATTATTCTTGGATAAATGTTTCTCTTTTAGCACTTTATTTTATAATAGCCTATACAGGACCATACGCTGTGATAGATATTCTTTTATCTGAAATCTTTCCACTAGATTTAAAGTTATTTTGTATGTTATTTGCTAGTTTTATAATAGCTACCATATCTTTTATTAGTATTTATATAGCGCCAATGATGTTCGCGACAGTAGGGTACTCTGGCGTTTTCTTTTTAAATGCTACAATATCGTTTATATGCCTATTATATCTGTGGTATTATTTACCCGAAACAAAAGGTAGAACGTTACAAGAAATAGAATTATTCTTTAAACACGGTAAATTTTACGATATGCAATCCAACGAACAAGCCACAGGATTGCTTTGACTTTAGACATTAATGGAAAATCTTTTGTATAATAAATGGAAATGTGTTTCAAAGCATCTTTTTTAAATTTAAGCCAGATTGATTTTTAATGTACCTTGTAATCTGTTATTCAATCACAATCAATCCATCATCACAACTTGTGTTGTAATACCATTCTACAGAATTTGATGAAAATTATGGTAATATATTCTGAAGACGCTAGAGTAGGTTTGTTCCTTGAAAATATCCCTTCCCCCACGAAATCTAATTCCCCTTTCCATACTTTCCTTATAAAAAGTAGTAATTTGAGGAGAAGCATAATTCGCCCTCTGGATCAAACAGTCATTACAAGAAACGCGAATATATTTCAACATCACGAGTGTCTTCTGTTTAGTCATGATATTGCATCGCACGAGAGTCCCATTCGTCTTCAAACAACGAACGGAACCACTGCAGCGCTGAACAAATTCTTAGATATCGACAGGACATAAAAACGGGGATGGGACACACCTCTACGAGCGCTTTTTTCAACCTGTAGAAGTCCCACCAGGCACACCTGTGCAGACATGTGCACGCAAATAACCGTGAGCCACCATAAAGTTTGAATCTTGTAATACACACAATCAACGGTATAAGAAACGTCCCGCAACCTTGATCTTGTATTACATTGAGCCATACCCGAGGTTGTATAGGTTTATCGCTTTTACTGTTGAAAATTTAAAACCGTTTAATTTTTTTGCGATAAAATGCTAACGAATTGTTCTGCGTCAACGTTCCCATTTATAACGCAAATTTATGTCTTACATTGAATTGATTTTGTTAATTCTTGTTAAATTGTATAATAATTAAGTATATTTAACGACGTCTATAAATCAAGAGTATAAAAAAGCTATCTTAATAAAATGAGGTAATGTTACAGGTTTTTGCCCCAATGTTAGTTATCCTTGAAACATATGTCAAGTCAAAGAATTAATTTCGCTTACCACTTAAGATCGAATATTGTGAAACGTCACATAGTGACCTTATGGTGTTCTTATGAGCTATTATCATGTGTATGTTGCTATGACAAGTTTTTAATCTCATTGCACTGTCAGCGTCGAATTATAATTCACAGATATGGGTAAGAAAATTAAGATAAATTTAGGATAAAAGAATTATACAATAAAAGATGATAATTAATTAACTACCATAAATCTTATACCTTTCTCCTTCCTAAAGAACTAATTTTTGCAATCTTGCAACTTTAGCAATAGTTACTGATAGTAGTAGATAGATAGTCTAGTCTTTCATTTTATTAATCCCAGGGTGAATAAAAATATGTTAATATAAATGTGTAGATATAAATGCAAATAAAATCTAATTAAAATGCAAATTACAAACGAAGGTAGGTAATTCTAAATTTTATTATTTTTGCATGCACTGTTAACAAGCCAGTAACAAGCGTTGTTACCTCATTTATTCTTTTCAGTCAATGTAAAATGTATTTTTTTTTATTTGCAAAAAACTAAATATTACACTTGAAAGCAAAAAATGAGTCCACCTTCTTCTGATGAAATCTGATATTGCGCCAAAGCTACATTTTACTATAGCCGGTAATTTTGGGCTCATGTTTACCTCAGGAGCCACGTGTCTCTGAACTTAATGCAGCCAATTCTTCAAAATATGTGTCAATATATAGGAAATTATCATGTATAGAAAGAAGTAAGTATTATGATTTTTTACATTGTGTTTTTAAAGATGTAAAATATGATGATCGGGGTTAACATATTTGTGGTTTGCATTTTATGATATTAATTCTGTAACCGTGAAATGCAAGAATTAGATAGAATAAATAATAATAAGGCAAAATTAAGTTCTCAGTTTTGCCTACAAACGTAAATGAAACCCGTACCTGTCAAACATCTGTCAGTCACATTCGTTTGTCAATTTCCACCTCCCATAAAAAACAACTTCACAATCGTTCGACAACATCGTTTCTGCCGACATATCAGTTTAATATACGTGATACTTATTTTCATTTAACGTTTTTATGATCCCTATTTACGATTACCGTCTCTTTTTAGTGTATAACATAAAACTTGGATAACACAACAATGTACATGTCGTAGACAAAATATATAAATCCGCCGTTTACAAAATACCTAGGCAAAGTGAAGTATTTAGTTTTGTTTTTTACCAGTGATCTATCACTCTAACATGCTGCGGGCTCTAGCTCGCTTTAACATCTTCGCACGAATTGGCCCGGCTCGCCCGGTGAAATACCACGACCGCACAGAAGACAGACGTGAAGTGGAAGCAATTCCGCGTTTCGTCTGATGAGTGTGCGTCCCGGAGGCCTAATTTAGTCTTCTTTCCCTTCCCATCCTGTTTCTTACAAAGAAAGGATGGGAAGTAGAAATGGACTTTCCGGATCAGAGGATGCATGGAAAGGGAAGATATTTACTTTCTGTGAATCCTCTCCTCCGTCGATTAAAGGTAGGCAACGCATATGCAATTGCGTATGTCGTTGGGCAACGGTCACTTTGTTATTTCAGCGATTTCAGATGGCCGATCACTAATTTGCCACCTTATGATATTCCAAGAATTTTTTTGCTGTGTGAATTATTGTTCCCTTCAATATTAATTTGACCGTACCATTTTTGAGCTACGTAGATTTCCAGTTTTTTATTTGTTTTAATTAAGGTTAATTTCATTTAACAATGTATTTAAATTAGTAATAAATAGAACAAAAACTATTATTAATTATAATGAGATATACAGCATGTTATTTTTTTGTTGTTCTCGGAGAAAGGAAATTTCAAATTAGATATAATTTTTAGTAAATTTGATTACGCTTTGTGCCGTTATCAATACAAAAAAAAATTATACCGTATTACTCTAAAAAATACGAATCAGATTTTGAGTTAAGTGTCCACTTCCGATATTTCAACTATTTATGTAGAAGAAGCACAAAAAGAAAACACTCTGTATATTTAACGGTATACAGATTTTTTGTCAGAAATGTATGTACAACTAGCTGTCACTCGCGACTCCGTCCGCGTGAAATTAGAAAAAAAAATTAATTAGTAGCCTACGTGTTTTAAATTTCAGTGAGATCTACGAAGCCGTTCTAGAGATATCTTCTAACAAACAACCATACATCCGCATTTGTTATAAGTAAGATTGTTTAGGCTTATTAATTAATTAATTTGTTCACTATTATAATTTGCTAGTTAAAGTAAAAAGTTTTTTTTTATTTTTTGTAAGCAATTTAACAACGTGATTGCAATAATAAACTTTGCCACACTTCGTAGATAGGCAATACTCAGCAAAGGCAAATGTAAATAAATTGTTTCTTAGCCATTTCGCACAATGTTTAGTTCAGAATCACCACGCCAGGTAAATCGGTATTTTATTTTATTCATCGATAATAAAATTGTTTAGCTATACTGTTTTATTTTTTTTACAGTTACACGTTATAGTTGGACTGATATTTTGTAGTATATCGGATGGATTTATTTTTGGTCAGATGTCAGGTATGGTGGACGATTTGCGCGGGAAAGAGAGTGAAATTACATTAAGCGATGCTGACGTGTCTCTAATAGGTAAGCAAACATTTCTTCCTCTAATATATTTTTGATATACAATCAAATATGGATAAAGAAGTAAAAATCATTGTACGGTTACGCCGGTTATCCTCTATAAGCCAAAAAAAATTACCGCGGTCTTTTGGACTTTCGCTTATCCAGGTTCGACTCCAGGTGCCTGTGTTTATTAAAACAATACAACAATTGTAATTTGGAAGCATGACCTTAAATAATTGTATTCAATTTTAAACAAAATAAACAAAATTTTTAATATTTAGATCTGGTACCCGGGTACCCGGTAGCTAAAAGACGTCGGTAAAGTTGGTTACTGACATAAGGGTTAAGTAAATTGCGCAAATGGATACATTTGTAATTTGAAACTTAATATAATCAAGTAGACGTGGCACTTAAATGAATTATGATCCAATTTAGAATATTGGGCAACCAGTAGTATAGATAAACGTTCAAAGTCCACAATGCCCAATATTTAAAAGTAAGCTGTCATTCTAAAAACTGGTAAAGACTAACAAGTAAGAATTGCTGCAAGCACATACAGAAATATTGTATATTAATTAATCCATGATTCCTTTATAAGCATTTCCTCCTATTTATATCCTTTTGCAGCCTCCATCATCAATGCAACGTGTATCTTGGGATTTGGTGTAGTCGCCGTGCTGAGTGAAAAATTCGGACGAAGACTAACCATTTCAATCCTAAACGTACCTGTACTCGTCAGCTACATCATGCTATATCTAGGACAGAATATGGTAACAATTGTAACTTCCAGGGTGATTGTAGGCGTTTGCTACGGAGGTGTGCTGATGTTGACGTACGTAGCCATGGCCGAATATATGACTCCTAATAAACGTGCTTTCTATATTAATTTAATATCGGCTACAGGACCATCCGTAGGCACTGTTTTAGGTCATGTTCTATGCCTTTTGTTACATTGGAGGACGGTCGCATTAATTGGATTGATTCCAACAGGATTATCAGCCTTATTGCCTCTGTTTTGGATCGAAAGTCCCTCGTGGTTAGCGAGTCAAGGCAGATTTGAGGAGTGTAAAAAAGTTTATAGAGAAATATTTGGAAAAAGTAATGCATCTGAAGCACAATTAGAATTACTTATAGAAACTGAAATAGCGAAACGAAATGAAATAACAGGAAACAAACGGAATTTTGCTCTTATAGTGCAAAAAATAAGATCTGCAATGAAAAGAAAATATTTCTGGAAGATAATGATATTAGGTGCAATTATAAATATTTATCGTATCGCAGCCGGTAGATTAATGTTCAGTACATTAGCTATTACTATGCTCCAAGAATTAACTGGCAGTTCCGATATTCTACTCTATACTTTTTACGTAGATGGCTTTTTTATTTTAGGTTCTATATTTTCATTATTTTCTTTAAGTGCAATGAAAATGAGACCACTAATATTTTCATTAGGTTTTTTAGGTAATGTTACATTATTAGTATTGAGTGCTTCTATACATTTCATATCTTCTGATAGTAAATATGTTTGGACAATTATTTCACTTTTAGCTTTTTACTTTATAACTGTATTAACGGGACCGTACGCCGTATTAGAACCATATTTGGCTGAAATATTTCCGTTAGATATAAAGTTATATTGTGTTTTACTTTTGAGTTTCGTTGTAAGTATCGCATCATTTCTGGCTGTTTTCTTAGCACCATTAATGTTTGCTACAATCGGATACGATGGTGTCTTTCTTTTAAATGCATTAATAGTATTCTTATGTCTCGGCTACCTTTGGTTCTTTATGCCAGAGACCAAAGGTAGAACGCTGCAAGAAATAGAATACTTCTTTAAAAACAACAAGTTTAATGATTTGCTAGAAACGAATAATGAACAAGTTATAGGGTTATTGTAATAAAAAATTAAAATAAAATTAAACACTTAAGGGATATTAATGTTATTTATTGTCGTTAAAACGTACGATTTTTTTTTTACATAAATATAAATTTTCTTTTAATAGTTGTTTCATTTCGCCCTTCCTATTATAAAGAAGACAGTAAAAACAAAACACAATCGAACTGAAACATACAAAAAACTACAATCACACACGTGAAATTTCTTCTCTTCTCACCTTTTACGAAAGGTCAAATAAAACACATGAACATTGTATTTAATATTGTGGTACTTAATCCTATCGAATTTAACTACTCACACGTTGTAGACCTCGATAAGTTTATCGTTCATGTACTATCAGAGAAACTGGCGGTATTCCTTAATAGCGATAGTCGTTTTGTAAGTATTAAGACGATGCCACAAAAATAAGCAATACGTCAAGGTTGCGGGGATGTTCAAGATTTGGGCAGCTACGGACCAGGATATAGCAATCGATTGGGAAGGCATATATAAGCTGTGGACGACTCGGGCTGATAATTGTAATGGAACACCGCAAATGGCCGTAACTGTACGTACCTACGTGCGTACCCATCATTAGTACTCAAACCGATTTACTCAGATATCAATATTTGAAGAACTGGGTCATTACTGTTTAGGCCAGTAATTCCCAACCTTTTTTCGGTCGCAGACTTCATTTAAACTAGTTTCGGTGAGCCTTATTGCAACATTTCTTCTTCAACATAGGACCATCAACTTTTTTCTCGTGATCGTACACTCAGCCTCCACTTTGAGAATCACTGGTCATTATACATCGCTTACAAAATAATATAGGTAAAATGTTATGTACCTATATTATTTTGTAAGCGATGTAAAATAATAAAAATCTTTACAACCATATTTAGAAACAACAAACTAATAATAGCCTTTTCTTGTCACGTATTGTAAGCTGTAAACAAGCTCTTTCGAAATGACACATATTTAGACGGTGAAATATTTAGTTAAAGATATTAAATCAAAAATTGGTAATACAGAAATCAACATGTTGTCTTTAACATGAGTTTTCTGTAAACACGTCGAGGAGAGAACACCATCTGATCAATCTAATATTGCTGGTACATCGTAAAAAGCAGTCTGGTGGTTGTTAATTACATTTATTTTTACTTTCTTCGGTAAGTATCTGTTACATTTCAGTTTGATTTTCGATTCGATCGTAGTGTCGATGCGCCCAATAGTAAACACCAGTTAGTAGACGAAGCTTAAGTATTATATTATATTGATAAAAAATATATTATTATATTTGCTTACAAACATTTTTATATGAATATTACTTTAGCATAGTGGTAAAAAGTAGTCTTGTAAAATAGTCACAATTTTAATATCAAAACAAACAATAAAAACTTCGTACCAAAAAACTGACTTCAGCGTATTCATATAAAAGAGGTCTAAATAATGCATAAAATAGTGGAGGTAATAAAAACTTATCGAATTAAATACCTTTTTATTCTATACAAAAAAGATTAAGCTACAAGGTCATCAGATTCACATTGTTCAAGAATCAAATCATTATCGAATTTGCCATTTCTAAAATACAGTTCTATTTCCTGCAAACTCCTTCCCTTTGTTTCCGGCAGATAATACCAAAGGTATCCCAGACATAAGAACACTATAGATGCATTTAATAAAAATACTCCATGATAACCCATACTGACAAACATGCTAGGAGCTAATTTAACGCTTAGAAATGTTTCAAATCCAGCAAAAGAACCATATAAAAATGTACAAAAAGACTTAAGTTCTAGTGGATAAAGTTCGGAGAGTAAAATTTCTAACACCGCATAAGGTCCTGAGTATGCAATAATAAAATAAAACGCTAAAAGCAAAGAACACACCCACGCGTAATACATATTTTCTTTTGGAATATAATACAAGCATGCACTTAATACTATTAGAACAATGTTAGAAGTTAATCCAAATAAAAACAGTATAGTTCTAGTTTTCATTTTCCTAAAAAGAAACACAGGAATAATAGATCCAGTCACAATGAATCCGTCGACCAATAATGTGGACATTAAAATGTTTGAATTCCCAGTCATTTCATGCAACATTGTAATTGCTAAAGTGTTGTATAATATTCTGCCTCCCGCAACTCTATACACGGTTATAACTATCACAAGTAATGAAATCTTCCAAAAATACGCCTGCTTCAAAGCCAAAATTATTTTTTCTAACATTGAAAAGTATAATTTTTTATTCGGTGTAAATTCGTTTTGCTTTATTTTCTCAAAATTGACGAGTAATTTCAATTCCAATTCAGTAGACTCACTGCGACCATGAAGTTCTCTGTATGCCGCCATACTTTCTTCAAATCGACCCTTTGACGCTAACCACGATGGACTCTCAACCCAAAAAAATGGTAATACGGCCGATAATGTAGTGGGAATGATGCCCATCAATGCAACGGTTCTCCAGTGCATCAGAATAGATAACACGTGGCCTAAGGCAGTGCCTATCGAAGGACCAACAGCCGTTACGATGGTTAAACACATAGCTCTTTGTTTGGCTGTCGTATATTCTGCAGTCGTTATGTAAGTTAGAAGTATCACGCCCCCGTAGCTGATGCCAACTATAATTCTGGACGCAACAAAAATCGTGAAACTTGTGGCGAAGTAGAGCATAATCCAAGTTAAGATCATTGGTACACTAAGGACCGCTATAGCTCCGCGTCTCCCAACTTTTTCAGTTACTATTCCCGCTAGCACAAAACCAAAAATGCATGTCGCATTTACCGTAGAAGCTGAAATAAAAAATATGCATGAACATAAACTTAAATTATGTACCTCAAACAAAGAAAATACAACAAAACCAAAATAAAAGAAGTAAGAATTTAACAAAGGTGTTTACTCATTTAAATAAAAAATAAACAACGACTTTTAATCTTGATATTGCAAGACAATATGTCGAGGTCTTCAACTTTTCAACTTATAATTGCTTAAATAGCTGTTACCTGCGAAATTGTTTGGGTTGTATTAAATATAGAATTGTTTTAGAACCCAAAATCATTAAAAGAGAAACAAAACCGAGCCCTCGCATGACTAAGCGACGCTAGGTGCAACAATCAAAATCAATGGTGAAGTTTTGACTACATTCAATGCTCTTAATTTTGATTATATCACTCTTTAGGGAAACAATTTTAAGCTTTACTTTTATGTTTACCTGACCCCACCAACATGTGGGATGCAAGCTAAGCAGAGTGAGAGACTATTTAGGGAAACCTTACTTATATAATAAAGGCGAATGCTTGGATGTGTGTTAGAAGATATGTCCAGAACGGATCGATAGATCTCGATGAAATTTGGTATAGATATAGACCACAATCTAGTAGAACACATAGGCTACCTATGATACCGGAAATGTGTATGGTTCCAGCGGTATCGATTTGATTCGCATATTTCCACGACATATCCGCAACGGTTCAACATATCTTAGAGAAATTTGGCACAGATAATAAAATAGTTTAAAGTAACACAAGAGATCTCCTTCATCCTTTTTTTAACTCTTCCCAGACGAAGATGCGGGTAAAAGCTAGTATAACGGATTGTTTTTAAAAAATTATTACTTTTTTTATACCTTTTTAAAAAGTAACGATTAAATACCTATTTTCTTGGATAAAAAATACTCGTTTAGAATTAGGTATTTACAGATTATATCTATCAGCATTAATTATATTTTATATTACCTATCCATGATATGTCACTATCATTCAGTGATATTCCGATTTCTTTCCCGCGCAAAGCGTCCACCATTCCTGACATTTGTCCGAAAATAAATCCATCCGATAAACCGCATATTGTGAGGCCACTTAAAATAAATAACTGAAATACATTAGATAGATTAATTTTATTAAAATTTATATTATAACCTCAAGTCTCAATTAAACTAAAACTAAAATTACATTGTAAAATACTGTAAATATTGACATTCGACATTTATACAGCTGTCCATGTTTGCCAGATACCTTTATATACTGTTTGGTTTGTGACGTATCGAAGTCAAATACCTTTGGGGTCGTCCATTAATCATGTAGTGTTTTTTATCAGTTTTTCAACCGTATCCAAAATCACGTGTATCTTTTATAGTACAATTCAGTGAAATTTTCACAATATTATATTTATTTAATTGATCAGTCACAAAAAATATACTACCCCTCTCCCCGTGATGTTTCGTGATTTTTTCGTATCTCACGCCTTTCGAGCCACACGTGATTAAAGGACGTACCCTTTTTATCTGGGGTTGGGACTGAAATCACTGTATTATATTTTGTACGACACAAATCACCCCCCGAGTCATTAGTACAGTCCTGAGTTCATAAAAATATGTTTTAAACGCTTAGAAAACAAACACGAACAGATAGATTGTGACATAATATTAAACTGAAAATTTTACCTGCCGCACAGTCCGTGAACGATGCATTTTGCAGACTTGTCGATTTAAATGATGAAACGGTCTTATAAGTTCTCAGTGGGATTCCTTACACGTTGGTCGTAACCATTTATAATAATTAAGCTTTAGTAGGTTTTGTTTCCTAACGATAATTATACGGAACTCATAAAACCTGTCATATTGATATATTGTATTGCTTTTTACTTGACCTTGAAAAACACTGTCTTGTAAGCTACATGTCATGAACTGAATATGAAATAATATGAAGGATGTAATATATAAGACTTTCAACCATCTTATCAGGTAATGTACAGGATGTTTGAAGGTCAGAACTAATTGGTACAACGCTGTATCAGTAGAAAATTTATACACAACACCATATTTTTCACTAAAACTCGTAATTTCCGATATATCTTTGATAAAAAAAAACTTTTTCTCACACTTTTTTTTAGCTACCTATATTTACAATGTAACATAAATTTTTCTCACACTTTTTTTTAAATAACTGAAAAAGAAATAGCAGAATGGCTACCATGACGTTTATTTTCTTATCTTACTAATATTATAAATGTGAATTTTTGGATGTTTGGATGGATGGAAGTTTGTTAGAAGGTATCTCCAGAATGACTGCATGGATCTCGCTGAAATTTGGCATCGATGTAAAACATAGTTTGGAAAAAGAGACGGAGTCGCAAGCAACACCTATAGTTCCATAATTTTGAAGTTAAATGGAAACTGAGTAATGAATCTAATAAAAAATTTACCTAATATTTTTCTACGAAAAATATTCTAAAATACAGTATTTTTTGTCATTTCATTAGGCTAGTCTAGTAATTTTATTTACACCAGGAAAGGTTAAAGGAAAAATATTAAAAACGGACAATTGTTTGATATGAGTTTTATAATATGTTCATACAATGTAAACTGCATACAATTTGTTCTATATTTTCAAAGGCACAATTCAGATTCCGCTCAACACCGTTATATATTGCTAATCCCAAGAAATTCATTTTGTATAGGTATAAGGAATAACAGATTTCTGGAAACATTTTTGTACAGTCAGCTGCATAAATATGGATACATACACAAAGCTGGAGAAGCTTGTATACACCTGCATTACGTATTTTTAAAACCAAAAGCAAATTTTAACTTCGCGGTAAGGTATACACCAGAGCATTTTTTCGAGCATTGTGCGCATTGAGCAACACGAATGTAATAGGCAAGTGACCAGTATCCAAAGCACGTGTGGTTCGTGAAAGAACATATAGAGCGGCTCGTACTATTACAAGTAAATGCTCTAGTCTATACTAACCTTTAGTCACTGCATTATACACAATTTTTGGTGTACTGGGGAGAAACCACTGTGGCGATGACCTTGAGCTGTCAGAATAGTTGAAAATCAAGTGTCTAAAATTTAATAAATGTAGATATTTTTGCAACTGACTGTACATATCTCACACCAAGATGAAGACTCCGGTAACTCAAAAAATCGATTTTTTGGAAATGAATAAAAACTGATTTCTAAATATTTATGAAAGATATACAAAAATAACAACACATATTCGAAGGTAATATTGTGGAGCGTGTTGGATTAACTTATATCAATATTAACTATTAAAAAACTGATAATTTTTGAACGGTTGGCAGTATTATTATATGAGTTATATCACCATAAAAGTATTCGATACGGGAATTTGAAAAGGTTATTAACTTTAAATTAGATTGTTCTGAATTCAAGGAGTTTTCATCTAGGGGTGTGTTTATGATGATGTGTAGGGTTATGATCTTTTATATAGATTTGCCAAATTATCAAAATCGAGGTAACCTTGACCACTTTGTAACCCGGACCTTAAGTATATAATTTCATAGTTTATTAAAATCTATTATTTATAAAAGTGACGTAATATAATTAAAATAAGTAATTAAGTAAGGTTTTTTTATAATACATAATAGTATTCCAAACGAATTCCGAATACACATATGTACATTTGGAATTCGTTTAAAAGTATTTTAATGCCAAATTAATTCAATAACGTTGTGTGATATTTAACAAGTATTTATTGAATGTTGTTTGAACACTGTATATTTCTTTATTGGACTAACAAAGTATTATATACAAGCAAACCTGGATAAACGAGAATCAAGACTGTGATTTTTATATAGACATTATTCATTCATCATCAGTTTACTATATGTCCCCACTAAGGGGCTCGGAGCCTACTCTAAGTTTGGGATGACTAGGCCAGTCAACCACGTTGGCCCAGTGAGGGTTGACTTCACACATATCTTTGAATTTCTTCGCAGATATGTGCAGGTTGCATCACGATGTTTTCCTACACAATAAGAACGTCGGATATATGTACATTTGTAAATCGTAAAATGGAAAACACAGTACACGGCGGGATTCGAATCTAGGGCCTGCAGATTACAAGTGCTTAAATACCTTAGCCACCGTCGCTCACCTTACAGGCGTTTCTCAATAAGTTTATAGCTTTTTTATAAACGTTTTTCTATAAACCGAGTATCCCGATTATGGAGGTCGTTGATCGGGAGAGGACAATGACTCAGGCTTATAGAGGTTTCTCGTTTATCCTGGTCCGACTGTACTTATAAACACATGCACGTAAAGGCATAAAGCAATATGAATTGCTCAATTATTATGTTTTTATTTATTATTTCTATGTCAATCATGTATCCATAATCAATATTAAAGTCGCATTGGTGGTAAATATCATGGTTATTTTTTTACTATTATTGTAAAATGAGTTTAAACATGGGTGACACAATTTGTGAAGCAATTTATAGTTATATTTGGGCAGTATATTAACTAATATATAGCCAATTTTATATATAAACGAATTATTTAATATACTTTTAAATACCTCGTAAGAAACAGGTTTTAAATATATATGTATTCACGCAATGTATGTTTTTTTTTGGAGTTTGTATATTGCTCATACATACATTTGTATGTTATATTTTCATCAAACAAACAATATAATCTTATTACTAATTCACATTAAAAATATTGGCATAAAATAAAAATATATCTCTATTCTTTTGAGGCACATTTTACTTAGTATGACGTCATTTGTAATTACTTACAAGGACCATAGTATTTTTGTCATATAGTCATTTAAATCTGACCACCTTAAAACTTGACAACAGCTTCATTATTCCACATTTACGACTTAAATTAATTAAAAAAAATCGGCAATATTTTTTTTGTCAAACAAGGATATCTGAGCCACGGTCGTTTGTAGACAGGGCATATAAAAAAGTATGACAACAGCTATTAAAAAATCTTGACACTTTTTTGACGTTTACATGGGGGCGCTAGTGTGCTGGCATACTTGACTTATGCCTACTGGAACAGATGTCCTTGTTGGTCTATAGTAACGGAAATTTTATTAGTTATGAATTAAAAAAACCTGATTTTGATATTTAATTTAAGAAACTAAAGTGGCGCACTCACCCTGCCCCGCTAGCTACGCGATAGCCGCGACGTACACCCGTTGTCGTCTCGATGTCGCTTATTGAGCGAGACAGATATTTATTTGCAAATATCGTTTTGATACATATTTTTCGCTTGCTCGGGTTAAAGAATGAAGTCTCATTCCATTTCTATCCTTAGGGTGTCATAAGAGTATATAAACCAAAGATATCTGAACCAGTGGGCAAAAGTCAAACTAAATTATGACAGCTCACTAGCGCCCCCTGTCAACGTCACAAATTCCTCTTTGTACTGCAGCTGTCACGTTATTCTTAGTCTAAGTAGGTTTTATATATTCTGGCAGACCGGAGCGCGATAGCAGCGCCTCTCACCGGTTCAAATATCCTTGTTTTTTTTCCTTTGATTTTTCTTCTTTAATTCTTTAACATATGAATGTCGTATGTATGCTCTGGCCAAGTTTTAGGGTGATATAAGAAGAATCCGTAGAGCCGTGAGTGAATGAGTGAATGAGCTGCGGTCAGTCCGAGTCACTGCCGGACTCGGACAGACAGAGATCATCGTTGAGCACGCTCGGCAATGCCGGGTTGCCCACTGTACCTGTTTCAATAAAACAATTATATTACAGAGTAAACAAAATTAATATTATAATAGTCATTTTGATAGGGTTATCATTACATCACCATCATCATCAGCTCAGTCTACTGAGGAGTTCGGAGTATACCCTAAGTTCGAGGTGACTAGGCCGTAGAGAACCATGCTGGCTCAATGTAGATTGACTTTACACATATCTTTGAATTTCTTTGCAGATATATGCAGTATGATTATTATGTTTTCCTTTACTTTTTAAAGAGCGAGATATCGATTCGGAATCTTCCCGAAATTATAAAAATGGGAAATATTAATAAACACAGCTGCTCCCATATTAGTCAAAATATGACGCTGACAAGATGATATTGATTGACATTGTTAGTTCACATATTTTCCGACTGTCGTAGGATACATACCGTTGGTGGTGGGGGGTTGGTGAGTCCGGGGGGGCGCGGGGGAGTCGTTGTCATCGCTATCGCTACCACTGCCGCTGTCGCTGTCACTGTCACTCGACGAGCTAGACGAGCTGTCATCTTGAGACGCCGCCTGTCACAGACGAAAAAAAAGTTACTAATATTATAAATGTATATGTTTGGATGTACGGATGGATGTTTGTTTAAAGGTAATTCCAGAACGGCTGCATGGATCTCTGGCATTCGGCATAGATGTAGAACATAGCCTGGAAGAATACATAGGCTAATGATTTTTTTTAATTCCACGCGGACAGAGTCGCTGGCGATAAGTAATTCATATATAGAATAATAAAATTGAATATTTCACTACTGAATTAAAATGTGACAACATTATCAGAGTATTCAGTTGTCCATATGGCAAGTATAACTTCACCGTTTGTGACTTGGTAATGTAATGTAAAATAACTTACAGAAGGCGGCTGCGCGGGCGCAGGGGGCGGGGCGTGCATATGCTGCGTGTGCGCGACGTGTCCCACGTTCGGCATTTGTGGTATGTGCGGGGCGGGAGGCACGTGGGGCACGTGGGGCACGTGCTGGGCGGGGGGCACGTGGGGCACGTGCTGTGTGACGGGCGGGAGCGCGGCGGGGGGTGCGAGGGGCGCGGGCGGGGGGTGAGGGCGCGCGGCGGGGGGGCTGGCTGAGGGCGCGTCATCTAGCCCTATCATCGGTAGCGATGCTAATGTACTGTTGCCACCCGCAGACCAACTAAAAGAAATTGTAACATGTATTAGAGTAAGTTATTAAAAATCTTCATAAAAGACTTTAAAATTATTTTTTTAAAACATAAAATACATGATTTAATGGTATTTTTTTCTTAAAATCTTTTGTTTTTTGAATAAGTCTCTCTTTGCTTTACAGACGTAAAGAGAAACATAATTTTGGTATAAAAGCCTATTATTTCTATCTTCTACACAAAGATGCTTGACAATTATAATACTTAAAAGGCTAACTAAAGCTTCATAAAGCGAAACACTTTCATTGCCTGCAACTTGTTCTACACTTTAACATGTAAGAAATAATCGTGGCAATGCACAAATAAGTCAGTGTACACTTACGGTGCTTGCGGTGGAGAGGTTTTGACTCTGGAGGGCGAGCGCACCATGTTCTGAGGCTTCGAGCCGTTGTTATTGAACCGGGACTGGCTGTTGGCTTGCCCACCGTTCGCATCTGACAACACAAAAAGGTTTATTTATCTTACTAATATTATAAATGCGAATGTTTAGATGGATGGATGGATGTTTGTATGAAGGTATCGATCTCAAAGAAATTTGGCATAGATCTAGAATATAGTCTGGAAGAACACACAGGCTACAAATTAAGATTTTTTTTTAAAACCGCGCGGACGGAGTTGCTATAGCTATTTTATTAATAAATAGAAAACACCATTCCCTACCATAGTAGGTAAAGCTACATAAGAAATATATTAATATTTTCTTAATTTGTTTCATCTATGCCCAATTTACATCATTCCAGTCCAACATCCAAATCCAGCGCTTTACAACTGATCAATGACCAATAATACTGGAATGTGTATTTATATTTTTACAGTTATAATCCAGCAATGAATTCGATTGGACTGGAATAATGTAATCTGGATTTAATAAGATTGCGCTCTAGATAGTTTTTTATCTATATATGGAAATATACTGACTGGCATTATTATTGGTGCGTCTGTTTGTAGCGACTCTGGTGCGAGAGCTGGAGCGCTGCGTCGTGTTGGTGAAGTCTGTGGTGACAGGAGTCAGCGGCCGCGGCTTCTGTGCTGTCTCTTGTCTGAAGTATACAAAATACTTTTAGACATTTTTAGTTAGAATCATTTAGCACGAATCGCGCTCATGATCCCAGTTACCACGTCAAGTATCAAACTCTATTAGTGAGGGGACATCTCAATAAGACTAGAGTTGTGCCGATACATCGGCGCAGTGTCGGATTTTTTTTCTAACAATACAGACATTGTATAAACATATCAAGTAAAAATATGTCGTCAAGTCAAATCCCTACTGAGGCGCTCAAAGCCTACCCTAAGTTAGAGGTGACTAGGCCATAGTCATGCTGGCTCAGTGCGGGTTAACTTCACACATATCTTTGAATTTCTTTGCAGATATGTGCATATTGAATCACGATGTCCGTCAACGTGATAACGTCAGATAAATGTATATATGAAATATAATATAATGAAAATTAATAAATTTACTTAATCAAAAGTAATCATTGTGTTGTTTTCTAGTGTCGTAAATTAACCTATTCTATTGCTTCTTTAAATCAATAATTTTACTTATATTATAAATGTCAAAATTTAGATGGATGTTTGTTAGTAGCTGTTTCTAGAACAGCTCAACAGATCTTGATGAATTTGACATAGACATAGAACATAGTCTAGAAAAACACATAAGCTACTAATTAAGTTACTAAGCAACTATTTTTAGCTTATAAATGGTGTTTAATAGAACATTACCTTGTTTTCTTAACTTGTATATTACTTGATAGTTTCTCTAAGGTGATTTCTCCAGTGACCCTGTCTATAATGAGCACGCATTCCTTTGTGTAAGGCCTTTGACTGCCTTTGAATACTGTCTGAGGTACTCCAGCGCCATCTACAAATTAAATTATTTCACACATATAGCATTATAGAAACCTAACTTAAAACAATTCGAAAGTCGTGTTACTAATATTATAAATTTATGACTGGATGGATGTTTGTTTGAGTGTATCTCCAGAAAGCGTGGACCTTGAATCTTATTGTGAAGCCCCAAAGAATGTTGACTTTCGATTGCGACGTTTTTCTTTATGTACTAAGCAACAATGGGATTAGTAAATAGACCTAACAGGGTAACTTTTTTCATAGTTTCATCTAGTTTCTAAAACATAAATTGTAGGCATCTAAACTTAAAAGGTGGTAAATACACTTTCCAGGCAGTTTTTTATGCAATATACTTTTTAATTTTCTTTTTTTTTCATGTTCAATTGTAAATAACTACCTAAATGGGGCACAGTTACAGTCACTTGATTATTAGTTCCCACATCGACTGTTGCCATTTTATTGACATCCACTGATGCTGGCTTGAAATCATCTGAAAAAAAATACCATAAATTAAAAGAAATTTTTTTATTTTCTTTTTGACCAGTCATTTGTAATAAAACATCTATATAATAAAAAAACATCTATTTTTTATATAATATACTTTGCTTTTGTTATCATTATTACATAAGTTCAGACTAAAATTAACTTTTACTACATATCAAGTGTACTTTAAAATGTTTGTAAAACATTAATATTTTTCTTAGTAATATTTAGATAGATGAATGGATTTCCAGAACAACTGCATGGATCCCACTTAAATTTGGTATAAATGTAGAACATAGTCTGGTAAACATATGGCCTACTAATTACGTTTTTTCTAAATTCGGACCAAGTCGCGTGCCAAAGTTAGTATTTTATAAATACATAAAAAATTAAATAAATTAATATAAAGTTACATATATTTAGCATATTACAGTATTTAATTACTTGATATAGTTATATGGCTTCAAGTAAAGAAAAATGTAATTCCAAAGGCAATTACAATGCAACACAATATTCATGGCATGTTCAATAAGCCAATTAAATTGTGTGCATGTTATTTTTATATACACATACATATTTTTTATAGTAAAATATGGTGGTTTAAAAAGTATATTAACTCTTTTTAGTAACTACTAGCTGTCGCCTGCAACTCCATCTGCATGGATATATAAAATACTTAATTAGTGTACACCACACATCCATCTAAACATTTGCATTTATAATATTAGTAATTTAAATAAAAAGCAGCTCTTCAAGGCATAAATTCGAACACTAAAATTAAAAAAAATGAATAAATAGTCATGTCGGTCTCCTTTCTCTAAGCTACCACCTCACCAATTTTCAACCATATCGGTAAAGCCGTTCTTGAGTTATAAATAGTGTTACTAACACGACTTTCTTTTATATATTTTAGTAACTATGAGCTAGTATGGGGTGTTTTAGTGTGTACTTACATTTAATTGTATGGTACTGAGATGTTTTATTGTTGGTAAAGCTACTGCCCAACTTCAGCTCCCTCACATCATAGTTTAAACTATGTTTATCAGCCATCTCAGCTACTGTCTTTTGCCATATGTCTTATCTGAAAATCATTTATGTAATAATGAGATAAATATATAAAATTATAATTAACTCTAATTTCACTGTTGTAAATTGTATAATATTATGTATGTTTCGTCATATTTTTTTAGCCCTTTTACGAAACATAAGTCCTAAAAACGAAATATTTCTTGATGTAATTTGGTAATTCCCAATATATTGCACAATCAATGTTAATATAGTTGTATATGTTATAGAGAAGCAATATAGAATCACACTTTTATTCCTCTACGTAATTTCTACACTTTTTACATTCACTTTAAGCAATGGCTTTTTTTAATTTTGATAATTGAGTTCAAACACCTAATTTTCTCGTCTAATGGAGCAACATACATTTCCGTAATCCAACGTACGACGTAAATACTGTTACTGTTAGGTTTTCATCAACTAATTGTTTAAAAAAATGGAAAAAATAAGCGAAATATGGCAAATTATACGATTTTATTTAATCTTACTCTAGCTCCTTCTGCTCCGATGTTTAACTGTCTGCGATGCAGTTTTAATAAGATGTATTCATAATACATTCGATTTTTGTTAAACTTTACTCAAATTGTAATTCTATGCCAGCAAATTACTGCTCGAACAATCCAAAAAATTAGACATTGACTATTCTGTCGACCTAGTTCTCATGACGGACACGACGTTTGACAGATTATCGGATGACTATGACATTTGCGTTCTTAAAAGTTATAGAAAGTTTTGTGGATTATGAGAAAACAATTCAATATAAAAGTCAGAACCCGCACCTAAGACGAAATTATATACTCTTCCAGTTTATTTTTACTTTTATTAGTTCTTCCCAAATTACGGGTAACGAGTAACAACGCAACTGTATGTCATGTATGTAGTACGTAAGTACGTAACATTTATGTTTAGGATTATTCAGCAATCATCATTTCAACATTTACTTTATATTTAAGACATATGTGCGAACGCGATTGCTTACCCAATTTACAGCAATTATAACTATAATTGACGTACTAGTTAATATAAATGAGCGGTAAAAGGTTTCTTGCGGCTTGTTATTGAAAATTTTAGCTCAAATTTAGGAACGAAATTGTCATGTCTCATGTCACTTGCCAGCTTGTCAGTGTCACTGGAGCTGGAGCTACAGCGGTCGATGTGCAGTTGCATCGATTTCAATTTGTGCACCAAAATCATTAGAAGACAAAAGCTTGGGACTGCATGATATTTTTCCATACTTAAAATTTGCAATATTCGCCGCGTTTGAATATACAAAAACGAAAAGAATATACCGCCCTAACTTATGTGCCGGTTATTGTGATGTTAAAAAAGTGATCTTCTGTTATTTATTTGATATAATTAATATTAAAGTGTCTATAAATTCATGAGAGGTAAAGCGTCAAAAAATTTATCAGGCACAAATTTACCTATGCTTTTATTTTCTGGATCTTAATCGATTCTGTCATTAAAAATGTAAGTGACTGTTTCCTCTATTATTCCATTTTTTCTACGAACGAACCGGTTGCAAAGGCTCATACATCTGATACCAATTAATTATTTCAGGTCTAAATACATAAACATATTATATCTATGTGTTCTAATTCACAATGCTAATCTGATGGATGTGACATATTACGAAATATTGGGGGTATCTAAACAAGCCGCGACACAAGAGATAAAGCAAGCATACAAAAAGTTAGCTATAAAATATCATCCTGATAAAAATTCTGTGAGTATAAATTACAATATCTTTGTTACCTTGAACTATAAAAACTTGTAGAGTAACTTGAAAGTGCAGATAGAATTGTGTAGGAAGTGAGTGGGTGTACTACACAAATTTTGTAACATGCTGCTTTTTGAAAGTCACTTTATCATAAACATTTATTTTACTATATTAATTCGTAAACACCATAAATTAAAAAGTGTTAAAATTACTAATATTTGAAGAAAAAAGTATTATTTTCATTAATTCAGAGTATCTTGATACTACTAATACTACTACTAAATAATCAAGTCTATCAAAACTACAACATTATGTCTTTCTCATATCCTTCTTGTTACAGGATGAAGCAGTGCAAGAGAAATTCCTTAAAATAACTGAAGCATATGAAACATTGAAAGATCCTGAGAAAAGACGGAAATATGATATTTATGGTTCACATGGAGCATACACAAGGAAATATGATTATCAGTCTCAATCCGAGTACAATAATCTGTTCTATAATGGATTGTATCACAATGACCCGTATGTTGTTACCCTCAGCAGTGCTAGTTTTTGTAAGTATGTTAAAATATATTATTACTACAATATGTCCACTATAAAAATTGTTTACAAAGATTTATGTGATGTGCTTTTTTTTATATATATATATATCATAAGGTGGCAAATGAGCGAGCGGCCACCTGAAATCGCTAAAATATTGAAGTGACCGATGCCCATAGACATACGCAATTGCATATGCTTTGCCTACCTTTAATCGACGGAGGAGAGCATGCACGGAAAGAAAATATTTTCCCTTTCCATGCATCCTCTCATCCGGAAAGTCCACTTTCATTTCCCATCCTCTCCTTATAAGAAAATGGGAAAGAGGACTAAATTAGGCCTCCGGGACTCTCATCAGGCAAAACGCAGAATTGCTTCGACTTGACGCCCGTCTTCTATGTGGTCTTGTTATTTCACTGGGCGAGCCGGGCCAATTCGTGCGAAGATGTTAAAGTGGGCTCTAAAACTGCTTTTAAATAGACAAATATTAGGACTTCACAGAACCTGAAATACAACTAATAAATTTTATAAACAATGGAAATGTAATTTGGAAATTTTGTATTTAATGTCTAACATGTTTTTTTACTATTCAATCAAGATTTTTTTTTCCAGATGGTTATTTGACAGATGGATTTCATTTTATAAATTTCTACTCACCATTTTGTCCACCGTGTCAACATCTAGCCGATCATTGGAAAAAATTTGCTGAGATATATCAAGGAATTGTAAGTTTTAAATAATATATTGATAATTTGGCAAGTAATTATTTAAGTCACTTGGATTTACTTAAGATCTAACTTTAAAATTCTTACTAATATTAAAATGTGAAAGTTCCGATGGATGGGTTAATGTTTGGTAGAAGATAACTCCAGCTTAACAGATTTCAATAAGATTTGCCATAGATGTAGAACATAATCTGAAAGAACACATATACTACTTAGTAAGTTTTTTTTAAATCATATTTAGCAAATCTTTTTATTGAATTTCAGGTTAAAGTTGGTGCTGTAAACTGCAAGTATCACAACTCATTTTGCTATCACAATATGAGGATAGGCAGTTATCCAACTTTATTATTTTATCCCAATGTGAGTATTTAATCTTACTATATATCTTATATATAAAATTCTCATACTCCTCCAAAACGGCTTGACCGATTCCCATGAAATTTTGTGAGCATATTGAGTAGGTCTGAGAATCGGTCAACATCTATTTTTAATCCCGCGCGGACATAGTCGCGGGCGTCAGCTAGTAATATTATAAATGCAAATGTATAGAGGTTTGTTTAAAGGTATCTCTATAATGTTTGCTTGGATCTCGCAAGAAATTTGACATAGATGTAGAACTTAGTCTGGTAGAACGGTAGAAGAACCTTAACCTACTAATTAAGTTTTTTTTTCATTCCACAAGGACGGAGTCGCACTGCTATGTAGAGTTTAAAAGAAAAGATTTTATTTTTAATTTATAACTTTTTACAACAACAAAACAAATTTATCCAGTGATATAGGAATATATTCTTCTTCGTCGTTAGTCTTTTTAGACTGGTCGTGGTCATTAAGTATCAGTGACCTGCTTTACCGACTAGGAATATATACATGGTGATGAACATACAATTGATTTTCCTTTATATAAATGACCTTAATAAAATATATATTGTTTTCCAGGGTAAACAAGGTAGTTATATATATTATACAGGGGAAGACACATTTGATGGACTCGAAGCGTTTGTTATGAAATTCATTAAAAATAAAATACATGTGCCAGTTATAAGTCACCTACGGAGTTCTGAAAAGCCTATGGCATATGTTCTTGGCTCTAATAATATTGAAGATAATGCATTGACTAGACTCGCTTTTCATTTAGTAAGTAGCATTCATAAAATATAATATTCTTACTAAATTTTCATTCTATTGGATGACTATGGACGGACTTATGTGTGAAAGTATTTTATCTTCATCATCATCATCATATTCAGCCTAAACTTGTCCACTGCTGGACGTAGGACTCCTCCATCGATTGCCACAATGCCCGGACCTGGGCCGCCCGCATCCAGTGCACTCCCTCAACCTAGACCAGGTCATTGGTCCATCGTGCAGGAGGCCTACCTGCGCTGCGTCGACGCGTCCATTTTATCTTATAAATTATAAATTACGTGTTTTATTTCATCTTAAAACGTACTTTTTGTCTATGGTTAAAGTACGTGGGTCTTGGATTGATCCATAGTCTTGTTGATAGCGGTAGACACCAGCAATGAAAACATCTTTTGCAGGCAGGCTTACAAGTGCAATACCATGACCACACAAAAGACAGGCCGCAAGTAGAATTTCGCGTAGTTTCATGAGTTTGTGTTTTGGAGGCCTAATTTTGGTCGCTTCGCCATTTTGGCGAATTCACATGGCCGTTTGCTTGTTTGTACTTTATAAAGTAAAAAAATATATATTTATATTTATGGTTACAGAAAGGCTTGACTACAGTTGTGTTGATAGAAGATGAAGAATTACGTGATGATTTAACAGACGATCCGGAAACAATTGTTGTATTTGAATATAAAAAAACTCATACGGAAATCTCAAGCAGTGATGAAAGGACAATCATAAAACAAATTGTTGGATCTTTACCTAAATTGGAAGAGATCGATCCTAATAAATTAAAGGTAAAATTTGTAATAAAATATATAAATTTTATATATTTTATACTCTTTGTTGTTTCATGTAAAAACTTTTTACATATTTTTTTTTTCAGGACATAAGAAATAAACTTCGTAGCGGTGACAAAAAACCTTGGGTGATATACTTCCAAAGTGAAGATGATGACCAATTATTGCTGCATCAAATGAAACTCACGTTTCCTTATATGAACTTTGGTAAGTATAATTTATACTGTAAAATTATTCTGCGTTTCGTCTGATGAGTGTGCGTTCGGGTGGCGTAATTTTAGTCCTGATTCCCTTCTCACCCTTTTTCTTATAAGGAAAGGATGGGAAGTGGAAGTGGACTTTCCGGATGAGAGGATGCATGGAAAGGAGAAAATATTTTCTTTCTGTGCATCCTCTCCTCCGTCGATTAAATATAGGCAACGCATATGCAATTGCGAATGTCTATGGGCAACGGTCGTTCGCTTGTTTGCCACTTTATGATATAAAAAAACTTACTGTTTGAATACTATGCGACTTAACAAGTCTCAGAAATCCTACCACAATTAAGACACCAGTTTTCCAATCCAATTCTACGATTTCTTTCTCTCATTTTTCTTACATTTTTAATCTGTTACGACATATAGGGGTGCAAGAAATTAAACTCATTTTTATGCGGTGTATAATATTAGTTTTCCGTTTTTTTTTGTGATTCTCTGAGTGTTTATAATATTATTTTCATGAGCTACTTAGATTGTCACCAGCCGATGATCAAGGCTATATCTGGGCAGATAGTAAAAAAATATTTTTATAAATACAAAGGCAATGCTTATTAGTTAGGGAAGGGAAAACTTACAAGTAGTTTTTGAGTTTTTTTTGTTGTGGATCTATAGGAGTTGCAAGTATTTCGAAGTAGTTTTTATATTTTTCGATTTTCTAAGGAAGGGAGGCAGCTGCCCTTGCCCTCCTAGACACGCCCATGCTTAGTTTAACTTATTTATCCCTAGGCACAATCGATTGCAAGTCCCAACAAGAACTATGCGTGTCTCTGCAAGTAGAGTCTCCGCCATGTTGGGCGGTGCTGAAGCGGGGCGGGGCGTACCAACGCGCGTACACGCATCCCGATATATTCATACAGAGTGCAGCGGAAGTGTACAACCTGCATACATTATCCGTCTCCGAACTGCAAAGAATATTGGACGGTGGTAAGTTGCACTAGCTATTGACTGCGGCTGCACTTGTATCCATACCTAACCAAATAGTTGTACTAACATTATATATCTTGCATTTACACACAAATTTACAGGATTACGAGTCAATTTATTATAATTTCTCTATGTAAAAAGTATTTTAAAATATATATTTAGTTTTTATTATCTTTTGAAAGATGTGGGTACCTGGGTGCTGCTAGTGGTACCACACCAGCTGTCATGGGAACACATCGCTGATCCTTTCACTGAAGTCAGCAAACATTACATTGACTCGGAAGACATAAATGTAAGTAATAAGACATTTTATATAAGTTTTTGTTTTCTCCTTACTTGACTCTCTATATAAGTAATATTGAGAGAAATATTTAGATTTCATGAATATGATGGGTTGAGAATTCATCAATTTGAAAATGTATACCTGTCTGTCCGTAAACACACTAGTAACAGAGCAGTTTTTTAATTCTGTGCAAATTTGCCGGGAACCGCTAGGGATGTGCAGCTGCCTTTCCCCCCTAGAAAATTTTAATACAGATATAAAAACTATTTTGAATATGACCGTATGGTGCTTCACACCCCTGATTGGTCTGGCAACTTTCATATTTGTTATTTGTGTATATTCCCGAGAGCGTCATCAAGTTAGTCAATTAACAGTGGTAGAGCCCGATTTAACATCTTCGCACGAATCCCGGCTCGTCCGGTGAAATACCACGACCACACAGAAGACAGGCGTCAAGTGGAAGCTATTCCGCGTGCAGTCTGATGAGTGTGCGTCCCGGAGGCAACTTTTTTCTTATAAGGAAAGGATGGGAAGTGGAAGTGGACTTTCTGGATGAGAGGACGCGTTGAAAGGGAAAAAATTTTTTCTTTCTGTGCATCCTCTTCTCCGTCGATTAAAGGTAGGCAACGCATATGCAATAGCGTATGTCTATGAGCAACGGTCACTTTGCTATTTCAGCGATTTCAGTTCGCCGCTCGCTCGTTTGCCACCTTATGAAATAATAAAGTTGCTTTTACTACTAGTTTTAACATTTCAGTTCGGTATAATGGTATGCAGTTTGCAAACGGAACATTATTGCCGCGATCTGGCACACGACCAGCCCGCCATCTTGGTGCAGGAGGGAGGCGACCACCATGTCTACAACGGACGTATTGACACAGAGAATATTATTGATTTCATACAACTGCTTAAGGATAGCGGCAGTAAGTAGATTCAGTATTACTTCAGGGGTGTCCAACTTGATTAGACTAAAGATTTATTGTTTACTGATGAAATCCTTTGCGATCCACAAATTATGAACTTCTGGAAATCATAAATTAAACAGCATTTTAATACAAAATAATATATTTTATTAAAATGTAAATATCGTACTATGTACAGGAATTAACGTTCATTTAGAAGTCCGGAATCGTACGAATAACGCTCTCTAGTCGCTTCAGAGTGAGACAAACGTATGTATTTCTTATAAGCTTGTCTCGCTCTAAAGCGACTGCCAAGCGTTGTTCGTACGATTCCGGCTTATTTCTAAATGAACCCTAATAATTGCGATCGACTGGTTGACCACCGCTGTCATATAAGACTAAAGATTTGAACCTTTAAAAACATATTTTTCTCGATTGTGTTTTGTGTATAAGTTGTCGAAATCGATTTATGGATCGATATTTCGCATGTAATTTTGCTAAATATTAAATTAAGATAAGGCAAATCGTAGACAGACAGATAACTGTACGGTTACATTATCTCATAATAGCCTAGTCGGATTCTAAAATGGCTAGGTATAGAAGTGCATGAGATGGTCGTTGTGTCAGGCGTGTCGCTGAGCGAGGAGGAGGTGCTGGGCATCATGGACGTGTCAGGTCGGCAGCAGTGGTGGCTGGTGGCCTTCCTGCCCGCCTCCTGCGACCGCCGCTGTCGGGACCTGGCGCACGAGTGGCGCATCATCGCCAGGAGGGTAAACAGGCTATAACAATACTATTTTCTGTATATTCCATTTTCGCCATTTTGGCGCTGTTGTTAAATGTGACGTAACATCGATAGGTGAGTTTAAATCGGAATGAATGAAAAATCATTTCCAAATAATCGCCCACCAATTTACAGAGATAAGTGGTACTTAATAATTTATAATACTAATTGTTGGTTTCTGAGACCAAAGTATCTGTATAAAACATGTCATTTGGCCCAATCCGATGAGGGAGAGCCATAAACAAGAAACAGAACAGAACATGTCATCCCTTGTCTTTGACAAAACAGAGGTAACGATCTTTCTTATGTTATACATGCGAATATTTGTATGGATGAATGTTTTGTATGAAGGTATATCCAGAACAGGTGAAGGGATCTTGAAGAAATTTGGTATACATATAAAAATAGTCTGTAAGAAGGCTACCAACTATGTACTTTTAAGTCTGGGCGGACGGAATCGCGGGCGGCAGTTGGTATGTTATATAAAGGGATTTCAGAAAGTCATGATTAACATAATAAATGTATTAATTGTTGTATGACAGCTGCGTCCTTTGGATTGGATGCATGTGGGCGTGCTGCAGTGCGAGGAGAGCCGCGGTCTGTGCGCTAACGTGCGCCAGCCCACTGCACGACTCTACCCTCCCAACAAACAACACTACATGTATGTATCTCCTCCCAATTATATAATAAATATACTACTAATTTTTAGGGTTCCCTATCTCATAGGAAAAAATCGGAACCCTTATAGGATCACTTTATTGTCAGTCCGTATGTCTGTCAAGATCCTTTATCTCAAAAACACGTAAAGGTATCAAGCTGGAATTTATCTCCGCGTGAATCGAATCGTGGGCAACGGCTCTTACTAATTCGAATGTTTGGATGGATGGATGTTACAAGGCATCTCCAGAACGGTGAAGCGGAAATACTGAAATTTTTCATAGACGTAGTCCACAGTCTTGGAATATTTACTCGATAATGCAAAGGTTCAACATAACTAACCCTGTATGTTGTATATTGCAGCCTGAACCTGCAGCAGAAGTCTGAGGCGCCGTACATCCTGGAGTGGGTGCTGGAGCACATTGATGACGTGGAGAAGCTCAGCTGGCACACATTTGCCAAACAAGTCGCTGACGACATCAATACTCACTTGTTAGTACAAACAATACATACTAATCTTACTAATATTATAAATTACATGTATGGATGGATAGATGTTTGTTACTATCTCCAGAAAAAGACAACGAAAGTGATATGACAACATTCAAAAATGTAAATTACTTCTTTTTCCAGTCTTAATTTCAGTTAAAACTGTCAAAACTTCTAAAACAGGCTTTATGGATTTAGTTAAAATCTTACTAATATTATAAATGCGAATGTTTAAATGGATGAATGGATGGATGTTTGAAGTTATCTCCAGAACGGCTCCATGCATCTCTCTCAAATTTGGTACAAATATAGAACATAGTCTAGAAGAACACATAGACGATTTTAGTAAGTTTTTTTTATTCTGCACGGACGGAGTCGCGGGCGATAGCTAGTTTGTCATAAATGTAGAACAAAGTCTGGAGACACATTTTAAAAATTGCTGGACATCATGTGATCGAAATATGATTTTTTTTTATTTTACATAAATGACAATTTTATAAATATGTATAAATTAATAAAAGTGTACAAACAGACAGTTTTTTTATCTGATGTGTATGTCCCAGGTACAAGCGGCCATGGCTGGTGTACTTCCACTCTCCGCGGTGTCACCACTGCTACGAGAAGTATCCGGACTTCGCCCTCGCATCTATTGTAAGTTTATTCACTCATTTATCAATATTCTCTATGTCACCGACAGTATGTCAATTTGGTTCATTTATAATCGGTCTATTACTATTATTAATTATCATATTAAGTTTTTTTTTTTTTTTTTAAATTTGGAACTATAAAAACTACGTACGTTGAGAACTAGTTTGAAGAGTTATTTATCTTACTAATATTATAAGTAGGAATGTTTGGATAGATGGATGATTGAAGGTATCTCCAGAACGGCTGTATCATGCTGAAATATGGCATAGATGTAGACCACAATCTGGAAGAACATATAGACTTATTAAGTTTGTTTTTAACTCCTCATAGACGTAGTCGGGGACGACAGCTAGCTATATTGTTTATTGTTTCTTATTTTATATCCAGTTTATGGGAAAAGTGGTGAACTTCGGCAAAGTGAATTGCCTTTCGGAGCGCAACTTGTGCCAGCAGGAGCATATCACCAGCTACCCAACCCTCAAATTGTACCTCAGAAACCGCCACCACGGTGCAGGGTACCGGGTCCTCCACCTCAGGATAAGGGACTACAAGAGCATCATGGACGAGGTCAGACCCTATCTACCCAATCAATATCATGATGCTAATCTATTGGGCGGTCTACATGGGTTCGCTCCTCAAATGTTCCATTTCAAACACGATGAGTTATAATTTTATCACAAAAAAAAATACAGAAAAATATCGCCTTTTTACAAAATGTCATATTTTTTAAACCACAACTTTAATATTTCATTTTTACATATTCATTTTTCATTTGCTTATTTTTTGACTAATTACATCCTTTTGATATTTTTTCTCTTACCTTCTTTTACTAAATAATGAATATTTTAGAATTAATCAACGCTTAAATGTTTAAAATTGCCTGTAAAGTTGTGGTTTAAAAAATATTACGTTGTTTCTGTAAAGAGGCGATATGTCGTCTCGGTTTTTTCAGATAGTGTGAGAGAGATGACTATGTTTTTGTACGTTTCTGTAAACTTAGTGTTGACGATCGCTAGATGGCGCTGTAATTAAATCTTAGTAAAATTCTGACATGCCTTTTTTACTTAAAATTGTACTCAAGGTTTTTCCTTCACGTATTTTATAAGAAAAAAAAATTTTGATGTTCAATTTATTGACGTGAATGTTTCTTCAATGTAAACTCATAAACGTAGTATAAGTAATAATTATACATATCCTTCTATTTTATTTCGTAAGATTAACTTAAACGTATCAGTGAAACTATACTTCCTTGTTTTTATTACTTAAGTAGTGTTTCATGTTAAAAATGTTGGTCCAAAGACTTCAACGACCATTTTAAATAATTTACCGTGGGTTTCCGAGACCAAATCCCCTTTAAAACATATTGCTATCTCTGTTTTGTCAAAGATATGGGGATGACGATATGTCTAATAGAGATTTTTCTCAGAAACCTACGGTTAGAAAAACGCTTATTTATGCTTTTTACATTTCTTCATTAATTTAAGTGTATGAACATATATGTTTTGCATAAATGTATTTTCCTAATATAACATTTTAAATGCATTTACATTGTGATATTTTTATTTACATTATATTATTAATAATTTAACTATTAATATTAAATAAGTCATTAGGATGTATGTGAATAGTAATGTAGTTTTTTGATCTTATTGAATTTGTACATTTGTAGTCAAAATTATTGACCTTTTATATAAAATGGTTTTTATAATAATTATGAGTGTAATTCAATCTGGTAATAATAATCTACAATTATAATAACCAACAGAATCTAGTTTAATTCCAATTGAATTTCAAGTTTTTTTCTATGAGATCTAGCATTCTTCACTTAAAGTTCTCAATTTTTTATCGTGGGTTTCTTAAACCATAATCTCCGTATAACACTTATTTTATGTTATACAAAGATATTATGTTCTCAGAAACCCACAGTTAGAATAACAAATGCTTGCAAACTGTATATATTGCGATGTAATTTATTTTAACAGTATTGTATTGGGATGTTTTTAAAATATGAATCTCCTTAATATCACAAAAAATGCCATAATGTCGAATACAAACTTTTGTAGTGAAATAAAACAATAAATTTCTTGCTCATAACAATAGTTTTATTCAATATAAGAAATTTACTACTCTCTTGAAAGATTTTTAACATTTTCATAGAATTAAGGAATATTTCAACTATGTGCCTTCAAAGATGTTCAAACTTTAGTGGACTCCCATTTAATTACAATTGTTTAATGGATTGCTGGCATTTTCACAGATAATAACTGAAACAAAAAAGTTTAAAAAAGAAACAATTACTACATAAAATATTAGACTCGCAAACAAATCTCATAAGGTCATGTTTAAGACATAAAAAAAACCCTTATAAAAAAAAATGCTACATTATCCTAGAGTAACAAAAGGTTCAAAAAGAACGTAAGAGTGTAGGTGGCTCAGTGGTTAAGCACTTGACTTATCTGCAAGTCCTGGGTTCAATTCCCATCATATACCAATATGTGACATCCAAAGTTCATCATCTCCCTGGCATTACACTCACAAAAAGTCTGGTTTTCGTTTAGTTCAGTCTTTACATTCAGTCATCAATCCGTTCTTAATCATGTAGGCTATGTTTTTCATGTTTAAAAGTAGTAGTGTTAAATAAATTTAATAAATAACTCACATCATAATTCCTATTCAATTTAGCTTCAATAATATCTTGGTCTACACTGCACGGAAGATAGAAATCAATTAGTTCATAGTGACCTTTTGAGTCTAACACGAGTCTGTCCTCACCAACTTCCAAGTGTAGGTCTTTCAATTCTAACTGGAAATTTAAATTGCACCAAAAATAAAAAAAACTAATTTTGAAATTGACTTAAAATGATATTGTTTATTGTATCCTTGAAAGATTTTTAATCAACTTGAAAATAATGTTAAAAGATGTCATGTCAAATTACAACTTCATTATATCTTACTAATGTTATAAATGCAAATGTTTACATGGATCAATGGTTGTTTGTTTGAAGCTATCTCCAGAACGGCTTAATGGATCTTGCTGAAATTTGGCATGAATGTAGAACATAGTCTTGCGAGAACTAGGCTACTAATTATGTTTTTTTTGTAATCACGCATGAATGCAGCGGGATCAGCCAGTATCAATTATAAACTATCATAGTAGAGCTGTGACAAATCACAAAATACCACATTAAAATTAAAAAAAAAACTCTTGTAATAAATTGGTTTTTAATACTTACAGTAGCAGGTATTTTAAATTCAGCCAACAGATAATCAATTTCACCAGTAGGTGGCTCTCTTCTCAATCGGTAAACAATTTCCTTCTTTATGTTCTCCACCTTTGCGGGTTCTTTTATCTTTTTCTGTTCAAATGGTCTATCAATCTCTTCAATTAACGGTTTATTTGTTGGTGATTCTGAAGTTTTTATATCCCTAATTTGAATCCTATGAGATTGCAGTGTACCAATAGATTTTCTATTTTTAAGAACAGAGTATTTCTGTGAATCTAGTTCAAATTGGTATTTATCCTGCAACCCTTCAAAGACTACAGTGAGAAAAAATGTATGAAACAGATCATCATTTTCAATTTTAGTAAAGAACTTTGGATTTATGGCAACATCATATACAGTTGCGGGTGCTCCAGATTTGTCTAGTTCTGTACGTCCTTCACCTATGCTCATTGGTACTCTGTAACTGGAAGGATCTTCCGAATTCAAAATTTTCATTAGCTCTTCATTAGTTATATCTCTAGGGCATGGTATAGCATCAGTTAAGCAGATGTTTACAAATATCTTCTTATTGTCAGGTTTCATGAAAGTTTTAACACAAAATCCTGTAAATATAATTTATTATAAATGTATAGTAGTTTAATATGATGTCTAACAATATAACTTACCTGTAAACTGTTAAATATGTGTTTTATTAAGAAAGAGGTTATTATGAAGTAATAAAAAAGTTGTGGATGGTTTTCTCCATTGTATTTAGGAGTTCAGTTCATATCAGGCTTTATGGGTGAAAATTTACATAAAACAAGCGTTTCTCACTGGATGATTATCAAGAAATCTTCCCGACATTAATATGTATCTCGAATGATTATTTTGACAAGGTTTATTATATTTATAATAATCAAAATTCTACCTGGTGTAGGTTTGACGAGTTTATACGGCACTGAAT